ACGGTCGTGGCAGCTTCATTACGACCGTCACAGCTACAGAAATGCAGTTCTTTGACAGATTTATCCTTTTCTTCTGTTCTTTTGATGCTTTCTTGCATTGTTTCATGTTTTCTTCTATTTTGAGCTCAATTATGAAATACCTGCAAAAGTGATGACAAACTCAAAATATTCGGGAATTAATCGGGTCAAAATAATACAAAACGGGCGAATTTCATAGCAAATAAACGATACGATTTCGTGTTATCATCCTACTTTCCCTCACACGAATTCACCAACTTCCAATGGCATTTTAGGGTTGTATTTTCATTATAAATAGGCCTTTAGCATTCAATTTCAAGCCATCCAAGCTTAGTTATAAACTTAAGCCATATATTGTCAAATTTGTAAGCATTAACTCTTCACAGCAGAGAGTTATCGCACCATTGATTGAGTCTGTAATCGAGTTTGGAGCAACCTTTGTAGAAGTTTAATCTTGCCACTATTTTTTTTCCCGAATTCAAGTTTATGAGCATTTTACTTCCTGTACCAGATTAAAGTCTCTTCGGAGCAGGTATTTCTTTATTCACATTACCTTTATTTTATCGTCTCTTTATTTAATCGCACGTTCTTCTTCTACCTTTTTTTCAATTGCGTGTTTAAAGCTTATTTTAATATGTCTACTATGTTTTAAAACTTGATCAAATCAATCAATTTAGTTTATGTTATAATCATGTCTAGCTAAATTATAAGTGTTGGAATTTGAGGACCGTCGATTTGACGGTACTCTAAATTGTTGTTCTTTGAGAAATACTATTGGAGCTGTTTTGGTTTTAATCACAACTTTTCTAAACTTAATTTTGTCGGTTACTACGAATGTAGAATCATTTATATGTCGGGTAAGATCGAAAGTCGTCTGGTACAAAAGATTAAGGTTGTTTAGTTTTAATTGATAAAAACTGCGAAAGCTATTTATTAATTAATTAGGAAGATTAGTATTTTAATAAAGTATTTTTGAACCTATTTTCGGACGCATTTGTAAGTTTAAGGTATGGTTGGCCGATGCGAACGCCGGGAACCATTTAAAGTATTATTTTCCAATCAAAACAACTTTTCATCTGAATAAAAGAAAATTATTTCTAAAAAAGGTTTTATTTCTTTAAAGCAAAACGTGTTGGACACGCGACAATGGACGATATAAATTAGAGAGTAAATCTAGTTCTGATTACGCAACATCGATGATTCCTTTTTAATTATCTCTTTTTTAAAGAAGAAAACATTTCCCCATAGTAATTCACTTTATGACTAACAAGAGTATCAACGAATTGATTAGATCCATATTCCAACATTACATTTTTTATATTAATTCAAGTCTTTTATTTACTTTATTTGCACAACTCCAATCTTTATTTTATTAGCCTTAGATAAACATCGTAGCAATTAGAAAACAATATTTTGACTATTAGGTCTATGTAGGTTCGACACTCTTTATATTACTTTGATACTTTTCGTAAACTTTCGAAATACCCCATCAGTTAATTACAATAACCTACCAATATGTTATTCTATTATGAGTGGGGAAATGGTGACACAAGTGGAATTCGCGTAGTATAGTATGCCCAGACAGATGATAATGAATAAGAGGAGGAAGGCTGACAAGGAGAAGATGAAGAAATAACCAATGAGGATGATTGATCAACAAAACATAAGCATCATTATTGTGAAGTTTTTACAATTCATTTAGTTTTATTTCAGTATTTGTTGAACAATTTCATTTTAATTAGGTTGTTTTTCATGTAGTAAAATTACTAACATTATCCATGTACAATGGACTTAGGTGTGTTGATTATTTTGTACTAAATTGTAATACCTCAATATAATACACATCTAGAATTATATTATATCATAATATTTGACTGGTACTGAGTATATCCATCATATAGATGGCATCCATGAAGTACACAACATTTTCCAAAATACATTATAATATATACATGATAGGGATGTCAAGTATAAATCCTACAAAAGATTAAGCCTCCATAATAGAAACATAAATCAAAATAACAAAGTCTTCAAGTCATCAAGCCTTCCTTTTTCCTTTATCTTTACCCAAACTAAGAGATCAAAATCTTAAGTTCTCACAATGCGTGATTACACGATCATGAATTTCCATGCTCATAGATAAACAAGTGTATAAGAGAACAAAGCTCTTATTGCTTCCACAACACACGAGTGGTGTACTCATAACGCATTCCTAACTGTAGAAATTGTGTCATAGAACAACTTAGAAAACAATTTAGTGTGTTGATTAACTTGAGTATCTAACTGCGTCCAAATCAAAGGCCATAACTTTTTGCCTCATCCAAGTAAAGCTGCAATAGCACAAAAACCATAATTTTCATCTGTACTAACATCAATAATGTCATTAATGTATCGATGTAAGAAATCAGGAAACTGGGATAAGTAAACATGTCTTGAATATTCGGTGGACTTGACTGCCAAATGGTATACTTGACAGTTGACTTCCAGTTGGTTTTTTTCATGATCTATTTGTAGTCTGACTCCCCTGCGAGCCCTCAGCACACTCTAACTGGCTAGGATCACGATGCACATCACTCTCTTGACCATTTTCTCTTTTTAACTCCCTTTTCTGGATTGTACTTCACCGGCGTTGGACACATAGAAGTTGTGGATGAATGTGTTAGTTCCCGGACCTTTTTCTTCAACATCCTCTGGCCTACAATATCCAAAGTACTAAAACATGTCTTCAATTACTCACACTCTACTTCTAAATCCAAATGTGTACCACTTTCTTCATGATTGACCTCATGCTCTTCAATGTGTAATTTCTTCCAAAATACATGAATTAAGTCTTAAGGAACAAGATTGCATTGTATTTGGAAATCGGCAAGCTGGAACACACACGGTAACCCATGTGTTGTTCTAATGAAGCAACCACATATTTCTTGGCTTGCACTAACAAATTTTACCCTTTCTAGTTCCTTTCCAATGAGCTGTATACAATGTCTTGAAAGAAAAATGTGCAAGTTGGCATAGAATGAAGTGTTATATAGATGCTCAATATTGACATTACTTTTTCGAAACGAAACTATGATTGAACCTAGATGCAACTTCAACATGGTGTTCACAGCATCCCAACTTCGACATAAATCTTCCCGACTTGTAGTTAACATGTTTTTAGTCTATAATGAGCAGACTCCACCCTAAAAACCATAAATATAAATATATGTTAAATTATGATTAGTAATGTAATAACATAAAATTGTCATGTTCCGTGTACATGTTTGTTGTTTTGTTCTCAAAATGAGTGACTATGTTAGTCCAAACAACAACAAATCTTTCTTTATAAGGTGTCAATCATGTTTCATTCATATACTTAACAAATAAAGGAATATTAGTACAAACAGTCTCAAAGTGCTTGAAGTGTTTGACAAACCCGGTTTCTCTATTTGAATACATGAATTTGTTCCATAGATCCATGACATGTTCTTGTCTTTATGATTTAACATACTCATTACATTTCATACTAACAATTTTTGAAACATTGAACGAACACAACATATGAGTTGAATTTGGAAACACATATTCCATGAAATTCATCAACGCAAGTTCTCGGTTTGTCACCACAATCTTCGGTAGCAATTTCTCTGGAGAGAAAGAATTTTTGAGCTTCTCCAGTGCCCATTTGAAATTCTACTCCATTTCATGTTTCAAATAGGCAAAGCCAACCGAAAACGTCAACTTCATTGACGTAATACCAACAATCTCAAAAAGTAGTATCTGGTACCTGTACGATCACGATGTACATAATCAAAAAACTGATAAATCAAAATCTCCATTTTTTAATAATCAGTGGTGGCCATTATCTATTTGTCTTGTATGTGCAATAAAAAATCAACACCAAATGGAACATATTCAACAACTTCACTGAATTAGGATGTGTCCAAAAGATATCAACAACAACACTTGGTTCGTTCCTATTTCTAGTCCAACACATGTATTTCTCTCTCTTTATGAATAAGACTCATCAACATTTGCATTTCTCCAGTGAACCTCTCTTGCTCGTATTGTATGTATCTCTAGCTTTATACACCTGGGTAATAGTCGTGAGATTTTTTTGGATTTCTGTCTTTCAAAGCAGCAACTATGTACCTTGGAGCCATGTTGTACTTCGTCATGTCATTTACAAACTATCTTTCTTGATCTTTACGACAATCCAATATATCACGACCTTCTAAATCCTTAGATAGTTTATGATTCTGTATCTCGCACATAACAATCACCTTCCAACCTATACCACTTGGTACAGATCTCAATCTAAAAGGACATTTAACTTTCATACTATAAATGTGTTACGAGAAATTATTGCTTTCAGATGCATTCTTCCTTTTGTAATTTTCTCCTCTCTCACAACCCATAATCAATTTATCTTCCCTCTCTAGATTTTCATTAGCAGAATTAGAACGAACAATGACAATAATAATGCATCTGCACCACTATCAAAAATTTCAAATATATCCAAAATTTACAGTACACTTGTTTTGGACAATTTCGTAATTCTCACACTATTTTCGGTAAGAACGCAAATTTAGCTGCAAAACAATAAAACATCGGACCGAAAATTTAAATTTAACTATCGAAAATTTGTTTTTTACTTCATGGACATAATGAATTTTGTTTAGAGTAAATAATAGCAAGATCATTTTTGTCATTAAATATGGGAGTGCGAGTTACACAAGTGGAGGTGGCAAAATTAAATCCTCAACTAAAAAGGAATAGCCAATGGGCCGTTTACAGTTTACACCTTACACGATTCAACAGCAACAACAAGGAAAGTACGAAACGCAAGCAGGTACAATGAAACATCCCGCGTTTTGCATTCACTGTATTGTTTCAATGCAACTCTCATTTCACTGAGAATGATTCCATAGCATCCAAGAATCTTCCAAATCCAATCTATCTATTAATCCCAATTCTTCAATCATCCAATCCATTTCAATTCAATGGCGAACAATCTCAATGTTACATGTTCAATTTCATTCACCGATTTCCCCGAAGATGTTCAGCTTTGCATCCTCTCGTTTCTCGGCCCCACCGAGATCGCTTCGTTTGCATGCACCTCGAAGCAATTCGGTTCACTCTGTTCAAACGATGGTAAACTATGGTTCACGCTTTGCGATCGAAGGTGGGGTTCGAAAACCCAAATCGTGAAATGGGGTGAAGGTAAAATTCCGTATAAACTTCTTTACAATACTCTTCATGAATGGGAGAATCTCATTGGTTTCTGGCGGAGAAGCGGTCCGGGAAGTGCATTGATTTCGTCGCCCTCGTTGGTTTTCTTCGAGTGGGGGCCGTCGTTCATTTTGGCTTTTAGGGTTTCTCCTGTTGAATCGGGATCTGAGATTTTTGCTTATCAGGTAAAAAAGGTGCCTTTTTTGAAGATGGGTATTTCTCAAGAGGGACAAATTCTGAATCTTTTGGATCCTGATGGTAGAGCTGATTTGAATTTGAATTCTGGGGATGGGAATGAATTGATTCCTGTGAATGTTTGTTTTATGGGGAAGACTCATTTTGTTTTGGAGGAGAATGTGTTTGGGAGTAATTCGAGTCCCGTGCATTTTAGTGGTGAGGATTGTGGTTTCTTTGGAGAGGATGGGATTGGAATTGGGGTTGGGAGTGGATCTCCGCCGGATCTGATTATGTTGGAGATTTATCAGCATTTGGCGAACAGGACTAGTCCTGGAAGCGACAGATCAAGGAGGCATAGGAGGAAGGAGAAGGGAAGGATGGCTAGAAGAAAATGGGAGCCTGAGCATTTTGTCAAGATTGTGAATTGCTCGCCGACGGCGTTGCGGCCTTTGCAAGGCCTTTGGAAGGTGTTTCTTAACTGTTCCTTGCTGATATTTATGCTCAATTATGTTTTGAGTGTTGATAATAATTATAGCATAGTAAATTGCTGCTTTGGTGTCTGTCGTTGAATGTGATTGATGTTTGATATTATTACCTAGTTGAGCTGCTATTGCATATTTTTGTTTGATTCATAGTAATCAAACTGCAAAATGTTAGTAAAAGAAAGACAATAGAGCTAAAGAATCATGATCATTGATTTCCATTTTATGGTCTCATAATTAGATCATGTTGGGGTTAATGGTGATGCTGATGCATACCTTTGATTGAAGCCATGTTGATGCATTTTGAGTCAACAATTGGTATACTGCAAATTTCTATATTTTTTTTAATCTTGATGATTTTGAAGGTGAGAATGATAGTGGAGCTCTGGCTTATTGAAATTGTCAATGATGCAGGGGATTTGTGCAGACATGAGTTTAGCATTTTACCTTGTGGCTTATGATGACATTGGTGGCATTGCCTGCCGTCGGCTTGGAGATCCTCCTCAACGTTTCTCAACCTATGCCCCGGTTTTCTGGACGTCCAATGCTACATTTATGGAATCTCCCTTTCCTCTAGAGGAAGAATCTCTGTATGGCAGCCGCATTCATCTACAACCTGCTCAACCACACAATGAAAATCATGAGCAGTTCCCTATGTCGGACATTGAAGGGGAAAATCACATTCAGCAGTTCCATTTGTCTGACAATGAAGTGGTGAACCGAATTCTTCTCATAAACGCAAGTTATGATTTAGTTATTCCTGACCTTGCTGCTGGAACAATAAATCCAAGGAGTGCTGAGGGAAGGATTTGGCAGTACCAGGATGGTACTTTTGGATTTGGGTTTGTTCGAGACAACTTTGTCATAGACATGAAAAATATTGTCTGTGATGGTTGTATCATTGATGCAGTAAGCCCTTCTTCTGATTAATTTCCTTAATTTGATTGTGTAGCTGGATGTCACCTGTACATTGTGACATAGTGTATCTTTAGCTGTGAAATTATGACAGTTTTCTTAGATGGTATCCTAGATAATCAGTTTCAAGGAACATGCCCCTCACCTGTGAGTCACCTTTTAATATGTGACATCCTTTGGTTTGGAATTTGGACTTCCTTTTTTTGTTATTTTATATGTAAGCAAAATAATGGGAATTGACATCTTGTCGGTCCATTCTTTTAGATTTCATCCATTGTAAATTGTAATGATCCCGACATTAGTAGACCCTTAATGTAATAAAATAACTTTTATTGGCTTAGATTATTCACTCCTGGTACTGCTTACAGGACCGGTGCAATAACTGAAATTTGACTGAATTGATGCAGATTGAAGTTAGTTGATAAAAATTATTTGATGTTTTAGATGAAGTATATTGCAGGTTTATTGATGCGTAAATGCCAATAGTACTGCCTACTTCCATGACAGAAGCTTCAATCTTTATCATTCAACAAGAGCTTCTATAATCTACACACTTGATTTGTTTATATCATTCAACAAGAGCTTGGTAAAGTGATCTGTAAGGTCGAAAATGACATTTACAAAATGACATTTACAAGATGCATCACTGTATTTGTTTGAGTAGTGACATGAGTTTTTGGTAGATATGGGAAGCAATATGTGAGGAAACATAGGAAAGAGAAAGAGAGAATAAGACAAATTCTGTTAGCAGAAGCACATGGGAGGGGACAGCTGGCAGCAGCTGAGTGGTAATAGGCTGTAGGAATAATTCCATAAATGATTGAGTCCCAATCATTTGTGGGGCACAGAAGAATTGAATAGATCTGATTCCTAGGAGAGATAAGGCCTCTCAAAGTGTCTCTGCTAGTTTTCTTCTTGCTTTGCTGCTTATGCATTTTATTGTACTGAATCTGCTAGATCCCATTTGAACTCTAGCCTATTTTTTAATACAGTCAGTACTTCTACCATTTTCTTTGTACTATCTTCAACATTTCTCTGTTAGATACTAAATTGATTCTATCAATTTGGTATCTAGAGCCTTGGTTTCGCTTACTCTGTGGATGGTTGTCATGCGTGGTATCATGGAAAATCGAGTGGAAACGATAGAACATAGGATGAATCAGTTTGAAGGGACGATAGAACAAATACGACAGATCGTAACAGAGCAACAGTCTAGACCTCAGGTGACAGTGGAGCAGATTCGCCAGCTCATTCAAGAGCGTCTGGGTCACCACAAAGGATCCGACGACAATGAAGATGAGGGGAGCAGAAGGAGTGACCGTTCACAAGGATCTCGAACTAGAAATCGGCGTTACATGGGTGGCGAAGAAGGGCGAACCATGGGGAGCAGCAGGAAGCTGGAGATTCCCATTTTCAAGGGAGAGGACGCGTATGGTTGGCTCGTGCGGGTCGAGAGATACTTCCATTTGAGTGGTGTAAGGATGCGCGACAAACTAGACGCGGTAGTGTTGGCTATGGAGGACAAGGCTTTGAATTGATACCAGTGGTGGGAGGAGCAAGCCCCACTGAGGACATGGGAGGAGTTCAAGGTGGCTGTGATGAGGAGGTTTCAACCGGGTCTGCTGCATAACCCGATGGGGCCTTTGTTGAGTTTAAGACAAAAAGGATCAGTGGTGGAGTATATGGAGAAATTCGAAATGCTTGTAGCTCCTTTGAGAAGGGAAGAAAGGATTATGTTGGACTCCATTTTCATGAATGGACTGAAAGAGGAGATTCAAGTTGAACTAAAACTCCATGAGAGTCAAAGTTTAGCAGATTTGATGGATAGGGCCCTGTTGATTGAAGAAAAAAATGAGGTGGTCCACAAGAAGGATAATTCATGGAGAGACAGAGGAGGGTCTTTTAAGATCAGGGATCCGACAGAGGTAGGAGGATCTAGGAGGGAGGGAGAGAAAAGTAATGGAAGAGGTAATGAGAAGTTCAGAGGGAGGAGATTAAATCCTGCAGAATTAGAAGAAAGGAGTAAGAAAGGGCTGTGTTTCAAATGTGGGGATAAATGGAATAGGGAGCACATATGAAAATTCAAGCTTATGAGTTTTAAATTATGTGAGGAAAGCAGTGAGGAGGAAGAGGTAACAGGAGGGAAAGGGGTGCAAACAGAAGACTCGGTGGGAGGAGTGGAGGAATGCAGGACTTTGCAACTCTCCCTGCAGAGTCACAAAGGATTAACTTCTAATAAATCATTCAAGGTCTGAGCTACAGTTAAGGAAAGAGAACTGTTGACACTAATTGATTTTGGGGCAACTAGCAATTTCATTGATGCTAGGCTAGTGGAAATGTTGGGATTACAGTTGGTGGAAACACCACCATATGTAATTGAAGTGGGGAATGGAGAGAAGGTGAAATTTCAGGGGGTGTGTGAAAAGTTGAATTTCAAGTTGCAAGGAGTGGAATTCAGCCATAATTTCTTCTTGATGGAGTTAGGAGGGACTGATATGGTGCTAGGTATGGACTGGTTAGCTAGTTTGGGCAATATAGAGGCTAACTTTGGAAATTTATGCTTGATGTGGGAGTGGGGTGGACAGAAGTATTGTATTCAAGGAGATCCTACATTAAGAAATCAACAAGTTTCTATGAAAGCGGTGAGGAGAGCTTTGAAGGATGAGGGGATGAGATTCTATGTGCAGACTGTGAAAACTGTTGCAGCTGAAAAGAATGCTGAGTTAATAGAGTGGTATAAGACTTTGGGGAAATTTGAGGAAATGTTTCATTTACCCAAAGGTCTGCCACCCAGGAGAGAACATGACCATGCTATTCTGCTGAAACCTAATGCTGCCATTCTAAACTTATTCTAAACTTGAGGCCTTATAGGTATCCTTTTTATCAAAAAAATGAAATAGAGAAAATTGTAGGAGAAATGCTTCAGGCTGGTAGCATATGGCACAATACCAGTCCTTTTTCAAGCCCAGTGCGGTTAGTAAAGAAAAAAGATGGAGGGTGGAGATTCTGCACAGATTATATGGCTTTGAACAAGGTGACTATACCTAATAAATTTCCCATTCCCATCATTGAGGAGTTATTAGATGAATTGGGAGGAGCGGTCATCTTTTCCAAACTAGATTTAAAATCTGGTCATCACCAGATTAGGATGAGGGATGAAGACATAGCCAAGACAGCTTTCAGAACACATGAGGGGCACTATGAATATCTTGTCATGCCTTTTGGCTTGACAAATGCTCCATCTACCTTCCAAGCCCTCATGAATGAAGTTCTCAGGCCATTTCTAAGGAAATTTTGCTTGTTTTTTTTTGATGATATCCTCATATATAGTAGGAGTAAAGAAGCACACAGATAACATTTAACTGTCATATTGCAAGTGTTGGAGGATAAACAACTATTTGCTAACAAGAAGAAATGTTCTTTTGGTCAAGAAGAGGTGGAGTATCTTGGGCATTTAATATATGCCCAAGGAGTAGCAGCAGATCCCAGAAGGATAGAAGATATGATCAAGTGGCCTGTTCCAAAAAATATAAAAGGACTAAGAGAATTCTTAGGTTTAACTGGCTACTATAGGAAGTTTGTGAGGAATTATGGAAAAATAGCGTGGCCCCTTACTCAGCTGCTGAAGAAAGACAGTTTCCTCTGGAGTACAGAAGCACAAGTGGCTTTTGATGAACTAAAGATAGCAATGACCACTCTCCCCGTTTTGACTATGCCTGATTTTGAAAAAGAGTTTGTAGTGGAGACGGACGCTTCGGGCAAAGGCATTGGAGCAGTGTTAATGCAGGAGGGCAGACCTGTGTCATACATGAGTCAAACTCTATCAGCTAAGGCCCAACAAAAGTCAGTTTATGAAAGAGAGCTCATGGCTATGGTAATAGCTATTCAGAAATGGAGACCCTATCTATTAGGCAAGCATTTCAAGGTGCATACGGACCAGAAAAGCTTAAAATTTATAACATAGCAGAGAGTGATGGGGGAAGAACAGCAGAAGTGGCTATCTAAACTGATAGGGTATGATTTTGAGGTGAAGTATAAACCTGGAAAGGAAAATAGTGCAGCAGATTCCCTCTCCAGACAGATGCAGTATTCTCACATAACTACTGTCCAAAGTGAAGCTTGGAATGGATTAGAAGAGGAGGTACAACAGGATGAGAAGCTGAAGGGAATAGTGCAGGCTGTTTTAGCAGATCCTCTTAGTAAGAAGGGGTTTCAACTTAAGGGAGGAAGGTTGTATTATGAAGGAAGAATAGTGATGCATAAGGGATCCCCTAGAATTAGTTGGATTCTGAATGAATTCCACGATACAGCAGTAGGAGGGCATTCTGGTTATCTCAGGACGTACAAAAGGATTAGTAGTGTGGTATATTGGAAGGGTATGAGAAAGAGGATTCAAGAGTATGTGCAGGATTGTGAAGTGTGTCAACGGAATAAATATCAAACCTTGACACCTGGAGGATTACTACAGTCCTTGCTGATTCCCACACAAGTATGGAGTGATATTTCTATGGATTTTATAGGGGGTTTAGGAGTAGACACGATTATGGTCGTGGTAGATAGACTCTCTAAGTATGTTCATTTCTTTCCAATTAGCCATCCTTATACGGCCAAGAGTGTTGCTGAAGTTTTCCTTCAAGAAGTAGTTAGATTGCATGGATTCCCAAGCTTCATAGTTTCTGACAGAGACAAAGTTTTTCTTATCCATTTATGGATAAAGCTATTTAAGTTGGCTGAGACTAAGTTGAAATATAGCATTGCCTACCATCCTCAATCTGATGGCCAAACAGAGGTAGTCAACAGGTGCTTAGAGACATATTTGAGGTGTGTTACAGGGCTCAAACCTAAGCAATGGCCTAAGTGGTTAGCATGGGCAGAATATTGGTATAACACCAACTATCATGCCTCACTAAAGACCACCCCATTTGAGGCACTATATGGAATGGCTCCTCCAGTGTTAATTAGAGGGGACACCCCTGAATCTGCAGTTGATGAAATCAGTAAATTGACAATGGAGAGAAACTTGATGATCAAGGAACTGCAAGAGCAGTTACTCAAAGCACAAGATATGATGAGAAATCAAGCAAACAAGCATAGGAGGGAGGTGGTCTATGAAGTGGGAGATAAGGTTTTCTTAAAAATCCAGCCTTACAAAATGAAGAGTTTAGCTAAAAGGCTGAACCAAAAGCTTAGTCCTAGATTTTATGGACCTTATGAGGTAATTAAAAGGGTGGGAGAGGTGGCTTACAAGCTAAGCTGCCTGCTGATGCTAGAGTACACCCGGTATTCCATGTGTCCTTGCTGAAAAAAGCTATTAGTGCCTCTGCCAAAATCCAACCCTTGCCAGATTGTATGAATGAGGATTGGTATTTGGAACATGTGCCTGAGAAAGGAATGAATTACAGGAGGAATGATCAAGGAGATTGGGAGGTTTTGGTGAAATGGAAAGATCTTCCAGAATTCGAGAATTCGTGGGAGTTGGTTGAAAAGTTAAAAGAGGAATTTCCAGTTTTCTTCCTTGAGGTCAAGGAAGTTTTTGAAGGGAGGGGAATTGGTAGATATGGGAAACAATATGTGAGGAAACGTAGGAAAGAGAAAGAGAGAGAATAGGACAAATTCTGTTAGCAGAAGCACATGGGAGGGGACAGCTGGCAGCAGCTGAGTGGTAATAGGCTATAGGAATAATTCCATAAATGGTTGAGTCCCAATCATTTGTGGAGTACGGAAGAATTGAATAGATCTGATTCCTAGGAGAGATAAGGCCTCTCAAAGTGCCTCTGCTAATTTTCTTCTTGCTTTGTTGCTTATGCATTTTATTGTAATGAATCTGCTAGATCCCATTTGAACTCTAGCCTATTTCTTAATATAGTCCGTATTTCTACCATTTTCTTTGTACTATCTTCAACATTTCCCTATTAGATACTAAATTGATTCTATCAGTATTTTCTAATGGGGTTAAATTAAACGCATTGTTCACTGTATTTGTTTTGTAATGCATATCTGGTTGACAATACAAGTCAACTCTACAGTGAAAGGTTTAAAAAATAAGGGTAAAAGTGATGGGATAGAAAGAACATGTTCCTAGAGTTCAATGGGAAGCGGATTCTGTGATTTATTTGCGCCATGTCTTTTTCATCGTCCGATAAATCCGATAGTTGACATGATACCACATGGCAGCTTTGGTTATTTTGAAAGAATAAAAAAATATTGTTTCCTCACCCATAGCTCTCAAGCTTCTGGCTTGCATAGCCATGAAGTTCTGAAGCTAATTTAACCTCTGCCATGAGAAGTGAAGTTCTCCATTAAGTTACTATCATGTTCTGTTGCCATAAGGACCGTGGCTTCAATTATGCAGGAATTGTTGCAGTATTTATCAAGATCTGATGATACTGGTAAATGTAAGCCACTAACTTCTAATAATGCACCTTTATTCCAAAAAGATGTATCAGACTCAAAAAAACCAAGTAACAAACTCCATAAACCAGGTTTGGAGTTTTACATTCAGTTTCCTTCAAAATCAAATAAAAAGACAGAAAACAAAAAACAAAACAAAAAACTAACAAGCAGATCACTTATGTCTCATAGATCCACACACTTGCAAACAAATATTGAATACCATCATAACATCAAAAGCATGAGAGATATCAGAAACATGTAGTTCATAAAACGAAACATGAGAACTGGAAAATTTCTGAGACTTAAAAGACTCTTTCATCATGTTTCAGCCGCAACTTGTTCGCCGTTGATTTTTGCATTTTTCTCATGATCACCTTCAAGCTGGCTTAAATTTCCCTTTTCCTTAATCAGTTGAACATGGTGATGTTTGCAGTAAAGTTTTCCCTCATGTGCTATGTAATTGGAAGGACTAATAACACATCCTCCATGGGAGCATTTGAAACAACTCTTATGGTAAGGAGTTCCATTCACAGTAACCTACACAAAATCCAAAGTATCAATTCCATTGCCACAACATCAAGTTTCATATATAACTTTTGCCAAAATCACCGCCGTGCACTAAGATTCTGTCAAATTTATCACTAACTCAAACATAACGATGTTCGAATTTGTGATGATTTGACAAAATCTCAGTGTACACACGCGTTGATTTGACAAAATCATTTGTCGCCGTGATTCAAAACACGCATTATTTACCTTCTCAGTTGGATAAACTGTTTTCTGACAACCAGAACATTTATCTCTTGTTCCACCAAACATACTCGAGGCTTTAACCGCCGCAGGTTTCTGATTAAAACATCTCAAAAATCATATAAACACTAAAAAAACAAAATTTCACTATTGTTCATCGCAATCACCAAGATTTAGAATTCATTACCTCATTATCACTACTTCTTTCTGGTTTTGCAATTTTTGGTGTCCCTATGTAAGCAAAAAAACAAAAAGAACATTTGAGACACTAACAACAAAAAGTACAGTAACAAAATTCAATTGTTCATCCTTTTTGTTATAACCTTCAAAGCTTTTCTCAAGACTTCCAGTTCTCTTGAAGAGTTGATCAAAGTGTGGCTTGCAGTAAAGAACTCCCTCAAAAGAGTTGTAGTTGCTCAACTGTGTATACATTAATTCATCAGCAAAAATCTCTTATGAAAATTACAATATAATAATTCTAATTCTCCGTATATTTAATCAAAATTATACAGAAATAGCATACAAACGGACAACAAACTGCACCGCTATCCAGATCCAATAGTAAAAGTCTATAATCCAAAAGAGAATTGTAAGAGAGACATAAGATAAGATAAGATAAGATAAGATAACCTTGAGGGTTCCTTTGCAGTGATGACATCTGAAACAAGCTTTGTGAAAGATTCTATTATCAGCAGTCAATTTATCAACAAGATAAACTGTTTTGGTACAAGCCATACATTTCTGAGTAGTTCCTGCAAATGCCATTCTTCCTTTTCTTACCTCACCAACTTTGAACAAGTCTATGAAGATGAGAGAAAGAAAAAAGTGAAGGAGAAATTTGGACAATAAAGCAATTATATTGTCATTACAATCATTTTTATTTTTGATGAAATGTTAAGCACCTAACTATACTTTTACTTTTTTAAATTATAATAAGTGGAATTTATTAGGTCATTAAAAAAATTGGATATTTTGGTTAAAGAAATTGTGTGTTTATTAGAAAGCTACTTTGTTAATTTGTGGGGTAGGATGAATTGAAAATCACAACTGCCAACCAGACAGCAGCTTATCATTCAACATCCAGCTGGCTAGCTTTCATTCTTGGATCTCATTTTTTCAAACAGAAATGAAATGAATACATTCTCTCACTCTTTTCTTGAATTACAAGTATTGGCATGCATGTTACTCACTCACCAAACTAAAACATATTTTGTAAACTTCACAACCTTAAGAAATTGTCATGGTGTTTTTCTTTTCAGTGATTATTTCGTCTGTCTTAAATTATAAGTCATTTTATAAAATATTTTATAATTTAAAACAGAAGAAATATATAAGATCTTTTTAAATATTTTTGGTCTTTATTATAAAAAATATTTTTGAAATTATTTGAATAACCGATATATTTGATTTATATAAATTGACAATTTAATGATTAATTTTTTTTATATTAAGAATTGGAGAGAGTATGAATTTGTAAATTGTATTGTAAGGTTAGTTTGTTTCAAAAATAAAATTAATTGATTTTTATAGTGTTATATAAATTTTTGTTAATTTTATTAAAAAATTTAAATAAAAAAATGGATTTCAATAACATTTTGTAAAAAATTATTTAGGTATTTTATCATGCTTATTTTTTAATATCAAAAGTAAAAAAATTAATTATTTAAAAAGTATTTTGAATAACTTTTCATAAAAATTATTTTTGAGATATATATATTTTAAAAAATTTGTGATTTTTACTATATTTTAATTTTAAATAATGAATATAAAATTATTTTTTAAAATAAATTTAACTATTTTAATTTTTTCTTATGAAAATCATTTTTTTTAAATTTATAACATATAAACTTTAAAATACAAGTTATGGAAGGAAAAAATAAATAAACTATATTGAAGATGTCAATTTTTAAAACTTTTAAAAAAGTTGAATAAAATATTGTTCATAGAACACTAGTTAATGTTTTTCTTAATATAGTAAGAGGAAGAAGTTATTTATTAAGATAAAAAATTAAAGGATAAAAAAAAAGGTGAAAATATCATATTAAAAGTTGTATATTTATTTTCTTAAAAGTTAAAAATTACTTCTTTTTTTCTCAAAATAATATACTTATAATTATTTTCTTAACAACCTTAACCTTAGTACTGCATAGTATAGTCGCACATTGTAAGTATGAAAACAAGAAGTATGTGATTGAGATGATTAAATAAAGTTGAGAAGAAAGTAAAGGTGAGAGTGTAAAAAGGCAGAAACATGATGCAATGATGCGTTGGGTGGGGTGTAATTTTTACGTATGTCGGATCTAGATTCTTCATCCATCAGCATATGAAAGTGTTGGATGAAAATAGAAGGAATTGTATTTTGATTTTACAACAAAATTGAATTAACTCTTAAAAGATGAGTTGCGTAGCCTTAGCCCAACCATTCAATTATGACGAAACCTGCTATTAATCTATTTCTGTCCTGCCAACAAACAGGACATTTGGTTTAGTGGTTGGCTTCATTGGTTGCGTAGTTTATGTGACGATTCAGTTGCGACGTGAAAATCACGTTACAAATTTATCACATGTTATTTACGTCGTAATAATTTATCACATGATTTTCATGATACAACATACTATAATGATTGATTCTTTCGTCTATTAAAGTTCACTAAAAATAGAAGATGACATAGTAGATAACGGTGTATTACGATGTGATTTTCACGCCACATCATGAAAAATTGTCACGTGATTTTTACGTCACAAAATAAAAAAAATTTCACATAATAATTTAACAATATACTAAGATGAATAATTAATAAATACTTTTTCATAAAATTATAAAATTTTAATTAAAAAAGTTTAATTAATATCTTACAAAAATTAAAATTTAAAAGTAAAATTAAAATAAAATAAATCACATTGGGTCGGGAAACTCCTCCTCGCCATCCTCCTCATCCATCAGTTCTTGACCACTAACTTCTTCATTTTCACCAAACTCTTGATTACCGCTCCTTTGTGATTGCATAAATTGCCACATTTGCTCCTTCATCTCAGATTCCCTCTTCGTCATTGTCTCTATTTGTCGCATTTGTTCTTCCAACTCAGACCGTCTCTTCGCCATTGCCTATATTTAGGTCTTTAGCGTCGACTCGCGTCTCGCCTCATTTAGCGGCAGTTGTCTTACTATTTCTAACATTTCAGGTGTCAATTGTGGTAGACGTGTGTAATACCCCAAATTTGTCCTACACTTCTATCAAGAAACATCTGGCTTACGCATCTCATAATCATCATGTACATACCACCCATTAGGCCATTTAACAACATCATGCATCATTAATCAATAATTTGGCATGTGATCAAGGATATTGAGGAATTAAGATTTATTTGTGCTTTTAGCCTCTCATCTTCATTCAAGCTTGAATCAACTGGTTTATTCAACAATCATGGTTTGAAGCTAGAGTTTTGGATAATGATTACGGTGGATCTTTTCTTCATCAAGCTACAAGGGTTATTCTCAATTCAAATTCATCAAGGTCTTGGGCTAGAGTTTATTTCTCTATATCTGTCAAAAGATTAGGGTTTCCATATGGTTCGAGATGAGTGTATCAATTGAGCATGGTTCAAATGTTGTTTCTATTTGAGCATGGAATAGAATTATGATTTGGAGTCTCCTCAACTTATAAGACTATATTTCTATCAACATTCATCAAGAACCATGGAATCGGGGATGAGTCATTTATTTGAGGATTCCTTTGAGGCTTGTGGATCAAATTTTATCTTCTTATGGTTATGCTTACTAAGTGTCAAGACTAGGTGTTGTGCCCCAAAATTTTCCCTCTCTTTTCTCAAGATATTTTTCACAAAGATCTTCAATGGTTCAAGTTTGCACAAGTCTTGACTAGGTCAAGCCATCTCCTCAACACCAATCCCTCAAATTAGGGTTTGGTTTTTCACAAGGGCAATTGGACTTATAGTGCTTCAATTTACTTTCATGGATCATTATGGACCTTCAAGAATGCTCATATCAATTTTCAAGTCTTGCATCTTAAAATTACTCAGTCAATTGATCAGATGACTCAAAATCAGTTCTATTGGATAAAAAGTCAATTGTGGTCAACCTACAGTCAAAACTTCAAATTTTTTGACCAATATCAACATTTTGAAGTCATATGTGTCAATTGATCAAGTTTTGATCACAATATCTCAAGAAAAGCACTCAATTTACCAAAAGGGCAAAATGGTCAAAATTAGAGTTTTGATTGTATTTGACTGATCAAGGGTTTTTGACCTAATACATGATCTAATGGATTGAAGCATAATCTCAAGGATTAAAATACAACATGTTGACCTAACTTCATGGCTCAAAACATTTCTCATGATCAATTGATTGATAGTTGAAATTCAGTCAACTAATAAAAAGTCAAATGATACACCAAAAGTCAAACTTTGACATTTCGATCAAAATTGAGTTTTAAAGATCACATTTCATCAAGACATTCAAAAATATGTAACTTGATCATTAAGAGACCAAGAAAGTCAAAATTCATTTTTAAAAGTAAAAGTTTTCAAGACTTAGAAAATTTTCTAAGTGTTTTAAGTCTTACTTTTTTTTCATGACTTCATGCCAACTTTTCACCAAGATGCAAGATGATTCAAAGAAAACTTCCAACATTAAAGTTGTAGATCTTGATGAGATCTACAACTTTGCTTACTAATCAAGTCCTAGAAATATTTGGATTTTGAGTTATAAATTCATGAAGTCATGCACTTATTCCAAAAAATACTTGGTGAAAATTTGATTAAATTAGGCAGATTTTTTACCTAACTTCATGACAACTTTTCAAATAGTTCCAATTGGATTCTTAAAAAATGAAAAACTTGAAGGTTGTATAGGATGTTACAAGCTTTCCAAAATGTCCAAGAAATCATTGAGATCATTCTTGATTTAAGAGAATCGAAGAGATGAAGTTAGGGTTTCAAACATGAATTACAAGTCAATTTTGTGATGAACACTTCATGTTACATAATCTTTGGTTTACAGGCCTCAAACTTGTGCTTCACTCCATAATTAATGGTTTACATAATTGATTGAGTCATTATCCAATTGATTCAAGCATTACCCAAACCAAATTTCCATTTTGGGAAGAAAGTAACCATTCCATTCTTATAAAGATCACTTTAATCACAAAGTCAATATCTTGAGCCTCTAACTTGGTTCTTCTGCACACTCTTAACCTACTAGGATATAAGAAACATGTTTAAAGTGTTCAGCCACTCTAGAGGGCCCGATATAAGCATTGGAACCATGTTCATCAATGTTGCTTCAAAAATAAGGCAAATTCACAAACATGTGATTCTTGATTTCTGACTTCTCCAAGCATCCAAACTTCTTACTTATAAATACAGACACTATTTGTGAGCTAAACCACGAATTACAAGACCTAAAACACCCTGAAACTTCCATAAACTCAAAATTTCAACACAAGCACAAAAACTTGGCATTTCTGATTTTGAAACCCAATCTTCAAATCCACTCGTGCATTTTCACTTCTAATACATATATAGAGGCTATCCTAATCCCTGTTTTCAAACTGTAACATCATCTTCTTCATCCTCCATAACAAAAAACAGAGGTCTGCAACTTGACTTCTCCAGGCCATTTCAACCACTCTCAACTCAAGCTAAGCATTACATTAGCTTCCTAGAGACTTAAGGAAGTCAACCTGATCATTCCAGCACCTTGAAAGCAGCTCAACTCAAAACACGAATTCCATTTTCAAGGT